AATTCATTAGGATATTCGCTATCAATTTATACATTTTGCCATCATCGATCTTTTTAATCTTCTGTATAAGGTTGTTGTAAGTTAATATTTTAGGTACCTAACAATTTAACCTGGGAAAATGGATATTCCTGTTCTCCCATCCTGTACTCCTGATGTCATTGAAAGCACAAGGTTGAAACTTTGATATTTTCTCTTCCCCATGACACCATTTGAGTAGAATGTGGCAGCACTTCTTTCCAGGTTTCTGATTTCTCAAAATCAGTCAACTCCTTTTTAGAATGTTTTGTAATTATAGCTTTGTATAAGAATAAAAGAGATATTATCTACAGGGCGTATCAAAAAAAACGAAAACCTTTGAAATCACCAATAAAAATGTAATTGTTTGAATTTTCAAGTTTGAATTTCTAAACACTCTGTTAGGACCCACAGGTGTGTAAATTTTTGCGATATTATAGTCCTTTCCTCTAAACAAACTTTCCACAACATTGTTGACTACGTAGCACAGGAACACTTAAGAATGTTGAGGAAGACTCATTAATATTCATTGATTACAATTATAGAATTTCATTGGTGAAAATCATGTGATAAGCAAGTCTGCTTAAAATAAATCTTACATGCATGCACGTCTTTATCGCATTTAATTTGTTACAACTATAGTTATTTTAAAGTTTGATAATTGTTTCCTTCATTTCTCGCTCCATTTAAAATAGTAAACGCGAGTAACCATCGTTTACGGCATCTTCAGGTGACTGGAAGCGGTTTTGCGCGACATTTTTGAGTTCGATTACCTCTTCGTACATTGGAACTTGAGCATCGGTACTCGATCCAGCATTTCTGTTTCCTAATTAACCATCTTCGACGATAGTACACCACAGCATATGCAACAAAAAGTACAACAATAATTACAGCCACGACGATGATTAAAGAAATGTACCATTCAAGATCGTCCTTCGACCCTTTGGAATGTAATATTTCTGAAAAAAAAGTTAAGGTGATTTTTTTGTTACATTATTGAAATTCAAGGCTATTGGTTTATGTTTGCGAAACGACCATGCCATCCTCTCGATCGGAAAGCATCGAGACCTTCGTGAAAGCAAAACGTAACAAACATTTTGTAAGGGTTAACAAATCCCGGAGGTAATTTAAAAAGATATCAAAAGCGACCCGAGGCCGCAGGCCGATGGACGTTTTTGAGATCGAGGAGAATTTTCTATCTGGACGGACCAAACCGGTAAATAATTACGGTACTTGTTTTTCTCCAAAAAGCGGCGTTCGGTCGTATTGAAGTCAGCCTCGGCAATGGCGATAAAAACATAAAAATCCAAGCCTAATTTGTTTAATATATTAAAAATCACTTCAATTATTTATCCTGATAATCATTTGTTTTAAAATAAGAAAAGCCAAAAGTTTGCGAATAAATCTTTGGAAAAGCAAAACAAAGCAAAACAAAACAAATACGCTTTCGCTCGAGAATAAAATATAGGATTCTGGACCGTGGTCAGATATCGTAAAATTTCGCCCGCGGCTACAGCTTATCAGATCGCAGGAAAGCCTAGGATTCTGCCCGTTGCTGCATTATTTGTAAAAAATACTATTCAGTATTTTTCTCATAATTTTTACTCAAATCATATTTACCGTAATTAAAATCAACCTCAATTGACTTTTCGTCCATGAGAGTGTGGATTTTTCCAACACATTTGTATGTTCCACTGACTGTTTCATTGACATTACTGAGAGTCAACACGTTTTGCCCTTGTTCTGTGTCACCAAACTGGACGCCATCTTTATACCATGTCACACTAACTAGCGGTTTTCCACCTTTTCCTTCACACAGGCAAGTTATATCATCACCACGATTTACTGCGATGAAACTGGAACAATTGACTGTTACATTTGGCGTCTCTGAAATGTCCAGCAAATGTTTTTATTAAAGCGTTTTTCCACTGGAATGAAAACCAGGGTAAAAACCTCACGAAATGCGAAAAATTTCTATTAAGCTTAGGATTGAGTAATTTCGAAACATTTTTTCAATTTTATTGCATCCGTGTAAATAAAGACACTTTGAAAACAGAAAGATTAAGGGCTACCCTGAGCATAAATAAGTTTAAATGAAAATAATTAACAAATATTCCCCGAATATGAGGTGAATGTCGCTGCAAAAAAATCGAGAGAAAGTGATTCAAAAAGAATTAGAATGTCGAAAATTACTTTGAGTTTGATTAGTTCCAATGGAGTTAAACAGAATACTTCTACGATCTATCTAAAATAACCAGTCACTATTTTACTTAGACTGAACAGAATACAAAACTTTTAGTTCACCTCTGAGCCAATTGTCTTTAAAGTCAACCATGAAGATTTTATCAAGTTAGTTCTATCACTTTTTGAGTTATCGTGCACGAAATTAAGGGGAATGAGAAAAACGTTTTGCATAAACTTATAAATTATAGAGAAAAAGACATTAGAACAATTAAACAATAGAATAAGCCAATCGGCTCCTTTCATTTGCTCGGGGTTGAGCCTAAATTAATAAAACTTTTTGTTTAATTCTCGTGTTCTTTTTATATTCCTTTGAAAAAATATATTAAGGATCGTTAAGGATTCATTTAAGTTTGAATCCCTTAAGATTTTGAAAACAGAATAAATCATTTTTTTTTTCTAGTGCAGCTAGAGGTGAGTATCTAACGAGAATTATGCAAAGTAACTTTTTACGTCAAAGCAAGCTTTGCCGCTCCTTTTGTACTCACTTTGAAATTACTTATTTCCTCAGAAGCTGGCGGATGTTTTCTTGAAAAAGCCGCTTTTGTGATTAGCGCCTGACATTTATAAGGTCGCTTGACTGTACAGCGAAATTTCCCAGGGTAAGTGCTTGACCAATAGGTGGTCAGAATTATCGAGAGTCACCTTGTGTTTTTATCAATATTATTCAGTATTTTTCTCATAATTTTTACTTAAATCATAATTACCGTAATTGATATCAACCTCAATTGATTTTTCATCCCTAAGAGTGTGGCTTTTTCCAACACATTTGTATGTTCCATTATCTGTTTCATTGACATTACTGAGACTCAATACGTTTTGCTCCTGTCCTGTGTCACCAAACTGGACGCCATCTTTATACCATGTCACATTTGCTGGAGGTTTTCCACCTTTTCCTTCACACAAGCATGTTATATCATCACCAAGATTTACTGCGATGAAACTGGAACAATTGATTGTTACATTTGGTCTCTCTAAAATGTCGGGCAAAAACAAAGTTTTTAGAACGCATTTACAGATTCGAAAGAAAACTAGGGTAAAAACGTCATGCACGCTATGGAAACATTTTTCAGATTTTTAATGCATGCGTGTCAAGACCCTTTGAAAAGCAGGTCGGTGAAAGGCTACCTCGTGCATAAATACGTTTAAAAATAAAAATAATTCTTCCCCAAAGATGAGGTAATTGTTACATAAAAGTCAGGCAGGACTATATTTTTGAAAACCTATCCTCGAATTTTCGCTTAAAAGCGTAACTCAAACTCTTCATCTCAAATCATACTCGCTATCGCATGATTCTAAAATCGCATCGAAATAATCTAACAGGAAGAATTGCATACATGAATATCACACCCCTAATTATTGAGCTGGTTAAAGCCCAGTCTAACTAATCACCTGTCAGAGAACATTCTACACTGGCGTCTCGATCATGAGAACACGAACTCTCACTGACACCCCAACCTTGATGTAAACAACTTTTAATATTTTTTTCTTCTCCCGTACATTGAAGCTTGTTTAACCATATTGGTCCAGAACCAGGAATAATTTCGCTTTTCCAAAGAGTCCTAACAGCGTTGTGGTAACCAAGCTGACGACATACAACTCCGGCATCTCGCATATCCCAACCATAATTACAGATTGTTCCCCATTGCCCGTTGTAGAATACCTCAACACGACCAATGCCATCTTCACTCAGTGGCCCTTGCAGTCTGAGTGACACATTTATAGCTGTAAATAGCTGTATGTTTATAAACGATCTTACGCTCTGAGCGCATTGGAAAACGAAATATGGATACTATTGTTATCATTAATTTAAACACTGGTATAGGCTCCAGACAGTGAAATTGCATATATTCATGTGCAGTTGCGGGTCTCATTAAAAGTATCGGTGTTCGACTTTCTCATTATAAGTATTGTTGTTCGACAAAAACTTATTTTGTGTACTAGGCTCAATTTTTTTTTATATGAGTTTTCAATATAAATTACTCTTTATATAGGTTACTCTTTTGATCATAAGTTCGGGGTAAAACGTACTAAAAATTCCACTAAAACATACAGCCAAATAATTATTTTCAAGTTATTTTCCAGGTTGATAACGATCCGCAAGAAGACATGCACGGCACGCATGTTTTTTATGCTTATAAGCGCTGTTACATGCACTATACAACTTGCAATGCAACTATAATTTTGAGTGCTAAGAAATTAAAATGCTAAGAAAACGGTAGCATATAATAAGAAATATTCGTGTTTGACAACTTTGCAAGTAAATGAAATTTTTTATTTGTCAAAAGTCCCAAAAACATTAAGATGCGCATAATATCATATCATCACGCAACTACAATGTTCACGCTTCAGGGCCGTGACTAAAAGCTTAATGAGGGTGTATATTCATATATTGGTCTTCTCCACGGCTGATTTTTTTTGTACGCTACTGCTCCAACGTATATAAACGTGAATACACCACCCAGCGGTTTAGCTACCGCCCTGGACGCATGCATTGAGTAAGAAATGTTGGATTATCAACTCGTTTTTATACATCATTTTAACTGTAGTCCCGTTTCAACTTTACCCAGTTTATTGGCACGGCACGGTTAAAATGGGTACTTGTGCCCAATTTTACTAATGCTCAGTCTACCAAAACAAAGGCTGGGCACGGATAAAATAGTCACGAGTACCCATTTTAACCGTGTCGTGCCAATAAATTGAGTGTAGTGTGAACAGGGCTAGTGTCCGATGATATATTAATTTTAAATATTATTACCTGTCATGGAACATTCAACCCCAGCGTCACGAGAATGAGAGCAAGATCGATCAGCATTCCCCCAACCTCGATGAAAACAACTTGTAATATTTTTTTCTTTCCCAGTACAACGAACATTGGTCAACCATATTTTTCCTGAGCCAGGAGGAACCAATTGCTTCCTTTTAAGAGTTTTAACAGCATCAGGATAACCAAGTTGACGACATACAACCCTAGCATCTTTAAAATCCCAATCTGTATCACAAATTGTTCCCCATTGTCCATTGTAGAATAATTCAACACGACCAATACCTTCTTTACGTGATAGCCCTTGTAACCTAATTGGCGCGGCTATAACTGCAAAGAAAGAGTGAGAAAACGCTTTCTTATAGATATAGTAAATAATTATGAAGTAAGGGCTCGTTCTCAAATAATATTTTCTTTGCAGCACAAAGTGCACCTTGATGGCAAATAAGGCCGGTAAAAACGATGGATTTACCATATATACGGAGTTTAATTCTTTTTGTTTTTTGTTCCTGAAATACTAAAAAGTAAAAACCACGATACTTTGGTAGTTAAAGTGGACTGAACTCTATTTAATTTAATCAGTCTGGAAGGTAATAATATTCTTGTATGTTTGCATGGTGACAATCGATAAGTAATTTAGCTTGTAGGTCATTATTTATTTCGCTGATGAAGGCCCGGGTTAACGGACCGAAAGCTTTGCAGTATTAAATTCTTTCGTGGTGTACCTACAAGCTAAATTACTTAGTCTCGAAGTTGTTTTTAAGATCTTAAAACTTGTTCAGTAATGTCGATTTTAAAAGCCATTAAACTTCGCATAGAGTACTTTAATTGCTTTATCAAGTATTCAGTTTATCGCCGATGAGTGAAGTAAATTGTTTAAACGATTTTTCAATAAAAAGTTTTTTCAGTTATCGATTAATTGACCAACAAATTTGAAAGTTGTTTTAGCTATCTAGGGCTTGTACATAATTATAATTATAATTATAATAATTATAAGCCCATATTGGACTCGAATTCGCAGAATAACTGTTATTTATTTGGTAAATAAATATGATTGACAAATAAAACATGTTATTTATTAATGAATATATTTAGTGTAACTACAACGATGGTTATTGAAAATTCTGGCCTGTGATTGGTCGAACGGTCGCCTCAGGTTATTACGCGATAATATTTGAGCAGCATCGAGTTGTTTAAAGTGACAGATGAAGAAATAAGTTATTTCAAAAAAAATACTCTACCTAAATAGCGTTAATAGCTTCACAATTTTATAAGCCAGCAACCTTTTCAACCTTATGGTAGATTGTTTTTCAATCTTCAACCGGCAACAAATCGGAGAGGCTTGAGGAATACTGCATAATGTATTCTAAGTACCGACCTGTTGTGGAACATTGAACACCAGCGTTGTCATAATGGGGGCAATTACCACTGACTCCCCAAGAACTATGGGAACAACTTGTTATATTGTGCTCTTCCCCTGTACAATGGATATATCTCAAAAGGATTTGCCCAGAACCTGCAGGGACTTCGTCTCTTTGAAGAGTTCTGACAGCGTCCAGATAGCCAAGTTGATGGCATACAACCCTAGCATCTCTCAAATCCCATGAATAATCACAGATTGTACCCCAATATCCATGATACATCACTTCAACACGACCTGTCCCTTTTTCACTTGATGGTCCTTGTAACCTTAGCGACACAGGTGTAGTTGTAAAATCTATTTGTGTAATTTAAGAGAAAGTAGTTTAAAATCACAATAAAAACACGTTAAATTAAGCGATAATTTGTAGCTGCGAAACTTTGAAAGAATATCAACGTAAATGAGGTTGCATAGATAATGATAGCATAGCGACTGGAAAGAATATTTTCACTCTACTCTCCTCGTTGAATGGAAAATTCTGTTTTTCGACTCATAAAAATATTCATAACCTAGCTGGAACTCATAAACATTAATATTAACCAGCAAATGTAGAAGAAAGTTGACTACTTCTTCAACCAGAAAAAACTCTAAGTTTGAAGTTATGATATAAAATATATAAACTATATTTAGACGACGTTGTGATAATTTTTAACAAATGTAATAATTTATCAAAATATTGATTTACTCGATATTCTACCTGTTGTACTACATTCAACTCCCACGTCTGTTGAATGTGAGCAATAAGTAACACCCCAACCTCTATTAACACAACTGGCAATACTACGCTCCGATCCAGTACATTGGAAATTGCTTAACCATATCTTTCCTGAACCAGAAGGAACGTGGCTCGATCTCCCTCGGAAGGCCCTTGAAGCAAATGGATAACCAAGTTGACGACACACCACCCCGGCATCTCTTAAATCCCAATCGTAGTCACAGATTGTTCCGCATGTTCCATTGTAGAATACCTCGACACGACCAATACCATCGTCACTTAATGGTCCTTGTAACCTGACGGGCGCAGTTATAGCTGTAAAATATTGAACATGCATGATTGAATATAATATATGATATAATATTATACCTCAAATTCAAATTATCCAATCAAAAAACATTACTTCTACCATGTGATGAGGAGGTTTTTCGCGGTATCACATCCCATTGCCCCATTTCCGAGCTAGGCGCGTGACATTAAAATGATCACACTGTGATATAATATAGACTTAATGTATGTTCCCGAAAGACATACGGAGTTTTGTTTTCCTAAGCGTCTGAGTGTTTCCCGAGGCGAAGTCGATGGAAACATTGAGACTCGAGGGAAAACAAAACTCACTATTTCCCGAGGTAGTCTACATTCATATAATACGTTATATAGGAACAAAAACATACATGTTACACAACAATTTCATTTTAAAAAAACCCACTTTACGTTGTTATGACAAGAAGCGGGCAACAATTTTTCAATTGTTTCCCTCACGGGAAATATTGCACTTATTTAAAGTCATGTGACAACGAATAAACCAAAATACACAGCACCTATATAACAATAAGATATCTCACGTGATATCTCACGTGATATAAAATATCTCACGTGACGTCTCGCGAGGACTACACACATTCACTGAAAATAATCGCGGGAACAGTGTTGTTTGTTTGAAATCAAGAAATTAAGGATTCTGACCAAAAGACTAACCGATTTTTTGACGAAAGGCATACAGAAAACACAAAAAAGTTTACTAATTTTAAAATACGTTACAGGGTATATAATTTTTCACGCCTTCTTCGAGTACTTTTACTGATTTATATAAATAATCCTCAGTTCGAACCTTTGTTTTGACTATTCTACAAGATCACAGTACTTTTTCAGTCTAATATATCATTTATAGACCCTTCTCTCGTTGGACCAACAAAATGTTTCCCTCAGTAATGATATTTCCCTCAGGCTTCGGGAAGTATTTCGCCTAATCCCTCTCGCTCCGCCTCCAGGTCTATAAATGATAAAGAATGGTAATTGCACTGAGTGCAATACGTCCATAAATATATTCAAATGAATACCGCTTGTTAACCACCGCAGGCTCACTTGCTGATAACTCAGTTATCTGCTAGCAGATAACTGAATTTTGCGTGATTGCGCGATTTATCTTATTTAACTATTAGCCAATCAAGTTGCTTTTACTACTATAATGTATAATAACAGAAATAACTGGTGCACTATTCGTGCAATTGTTTTGCGCAAAAGTGCCCCTTCTGGCCCCTACAAAGGGCCAATGCTGTCTGATATATTATTATCTTTTTATAGGAGACCCCGTAAGAGCAAGTTTGGGCAGCGTGATACGGACATCGTACTTTAAGGCAGTCTTTATACCTCAATTGGTATTATCTAGTGTTATTCAATTACCTGTTGAGGAACATTCTACTCCGACGTCGTAATTATGGGAGCAATCATTCTTCCTCCAAAAATTATGAGAACAACTTATAATATTCTGCTCTATTCCAGTACAAGCGACGGGAGATAACCATATCTGTCCAGAGCCAGAGGGAACCTGGTGCCTTTCAAGATTTCTAACAACATTTGCATACCCAAGTTGTCGACATACAACCCTAGCATCTCTCATATCCCAAACACGATCACAGATTGTTCCCCAATGTCCATGATAAAATACTTCAACACGACCAGTACCATTTGCACTCAGCCGTCCTTGCAATCTGACCAGCACAGGTGTGGTTGAAAAATCTTAGAAATAATATTTCCGTATAACATTAGGTGGGCAATATATAGTTATAGAATACCAAATTAAGAAAATTTTCCCGTCACACATGGTATGAAATCACAGAAATTTAAATAGGTTTCAAAATGTTGAGACCTTTTAGTTTCGCATATCACCTGGAAAGTTTGAGAGCTACGTGCACGGCAATTAAGATCCGTGTCATAAAAATAGCGTCACCAAGTTGCACGCGACAATTGTGAGAAATCATCGTATACGATTATACCGGCCTTAAAGATAAACTCCAATCAATAATACCTTTTGTTGAACATTGAACTCCGGCACTGCTAGAATCAGAGCAGGAATAAATCCTCCGATTTTTAGGAGGACAGTGCAGAATATTGTTTTCTTTTCCAGTGCAGTAAAGAGAAGGTAACAATGTCTTTCCAGAACCAGAGGGTACCTGGTCTCCTTTAAGGGCCTTAGCAGCATCTGGATACCCAAGTTGACGACATACAACCCTGGCATTTCTCAAATCCCATCCATTATCACAGATTGTTCCCCATTGTCCATGATAGAATACTTCAACACGACCAGTACCATTCGAACTTGATGGTCCTCTCAACCCGACCAGTACCATTCGAACTTGATGGTCCTCGCAACCTTACCATTACAGCTGTTACAAGATAATGATAAGAGTCGCACACATGAAATCAGGGAGCCGGTCGGGTTGTCGTCGTCCCCAACAATAATATGCCTAACGGGTAGGGTCGCCTTCCACAACAATATGCCTAGGGTGTAGGGTCGTCCTCCACTATGATATGCCTAGGGTATATGGTCGTCCTCCACAGTAATATGCAAATCTTTGCGCCCTATTTATTAGTATTTGTAATTGCATATAGATCGTAATGAAACATGTGTTTTTTATCAATTAATCCAAAATAAAGCCAAAAATAATCAAATATTTTTGGCGTAGGATCCTTTCAACGTCAACATCTTCATACCTGTCTGACTAAAAGTTTGTTCAGACGATCCAATTTTGTCGGTTTCAATTCATTTCTAGTGAATATTTTATAGTATCATAGTGGTGATCCCCCCATTTCAGGGACGGAAGTAATTGGTGTATAGAAAGGCCTGCAAGATGGCCTTTAAAACTCTTATGGTCTGACCGCAATACAATCTTGGTTGTCACATGGCCAGAAATGCAGGCCAATATGGCCGCAAAGCATGCGTAACTCCGAGCTAATTTAGAAATTCAATATAGCGTCGCGCCAGGAGGGGAAAATAATTCAAGTTTGCTTTTTATTTAACCGACAATTCAGAAGTCATGTTTGTGTACGTCCAAAACATCATCAATTTTATCGTTTTTTAAACATTGAAAATTTGAGGACACCTCGAGACGCCCATGCAAGTATGTTCCCGAAGAATATTTTCACGATTGAAATTGTATAAGAAAGAATATACTTTGGCCATGTATAAGTTGCCAATTATACTTCATGCAATTTGATTATCAAGTTTCAAATTTTAATATATGTTTCAAATTCACATGAAATTTATAGCAAAAATTACAAAAAGAATAATTCGAATTTACTGTACAACTTGAATACTACGAGAATTAACAACGCGGAGTTAATTTTGTTAAGAGATAGTAGAACTAGATCAACGTTTTCTATCATTTTTTCATTTTAATTCATCCAATTCGTCTTTTTATTCAAGGAGGCCTGATTCCGTGGAAATGTGGAATATTTTGCCAGTTCTTATGAATTGTGAGTAATCAAAGAGAAATAATGTAGTCGAATAAACGCAATTGAAACGAAATTATTTGCGAAAAAGCGCCCGCGAAATCAGACCTTTGAAACCTGCGCATGCGTTCTCTCAAAAATTTGCTAAAAGTCATTACTCCCTGGCCGGAAAAAGTTCACCTGGCTAACGTCCTATGTACTTCTCAATTCTTTGGGTTTTTTACCCACCATGCATAATTAATTAAAATATTTTATTAAAGTTATTAATGTCAAAGAGATTTAGTGAGGATTTAGTATGAGGAGTATATTTGTTAGATTTTTCACCGAACTTCAATTACACTTATATACAATTCTCACAATAGAAATAATTGTAATCCATAAAAATACCTTTTGAAGTACATTCTACACCAGCATCATGAGAGTGAGAACAAAAATCGTTTGCCAAAGCATTATGAGAACACCTTGTTAAGTCCTGTTCTTCCCCAGTGCAAGAAACGTAAGAGAACCATATTTGTCCTGTACCGGGAGGAACAAGGTACCGTGGAAGTGTCCTAGCATATGAATGATCTAGATCATAACCAAGTTGACGACAAACAACCCTAGCATCTCTCATGTCCCAACCATCATCACAGATTGTTCCCCAATGTCCATGATAGAATACTTCAACGCGTCCAGTACCATTTGCACTCAGCGGTCCTTGAAGTCTTATTTTCACAGCCTCGTCTGCAAAATCTTTTTAAAAAATCTGCGTTAGCCTGTTTGCATAGTACATGTAATGAGACAGTTTGAAAAAGATAGTGTAATTATTAAACACCATGTGCAGCCAGCTTGATGATTTAGCCCCAAGCAGTGGCATAGAACGAGAATAACATCGATATATTCATATATTCATGTTACCCAGAATTAATTTCCTTTTATATCGATTTTCTTTACAATCTGCTAAAATGAATATATGAATATGCACTCACAATTATCAATTATGGCTACGCATCTAGTCCTGGGTTGCTCACTTCATGTCATATAATATGTCGATGACTATATGTAAACGATTAATTTCTAAAATTGATAGTTATAATTACTTCAAATTTTCATACCTGGAAATAACAATCAAACGCATAACTACGCCCCTGTTGAGCAGGCAAATATGCTGAAGCATAATTTTTGTTTTCAAGATGCAATGATGTTAGTAGAATATGTACTTATTTCCTACTTATAAATTATTTTCATTTTTTATTCCATACCAGTTGTGGAACATTCCACTCCAGCGTCTTGGCTATGAGAACAATAATGATCTCCCCAAACTCGGTGGGTACAACTCGTGATGTTTTGTTCTTTCCCACTACAAGCGACGTGAGATAACCATATATCACCTGAACCTTTAGGAAAAGTGGTCCTTCGAAGTGTTCTGACAGCGTCTTTATAACCAAGTTGACGACATACAACTCTCGCATCTCTTAAATCCCATCCATAATTACAGATTGTCCCCCAATGTCCATGATAAAATACTTCAACACGACCTGTGCCATTTGTACTCAATGGTCCTTGCAACCGGAGGAAAACAGGCATAGCTGACAAATCTTAAAAGAACATCAAAGCGTGATAGTATTGACTGAATTGTTTCTATAAAATAGCGAGTAACTTTTCCGCGATGATAGTGAATGAAGTAAACTTAATGTTTACAAGTAAAGTTTAATGTTAATGACTCGGCATCACAAAGCTAATAATTATAATTATTAGATAAAGCAGATATTTTTGCAATAAAATATTTTCATAACCAGAAATGTAGGCTGGTATATAAGCAGTATGATGTGTTGTATAGTATAGGTAGTAATATTAAAAAAATGAATATGTCCACCGACTTATCAATGCTGAGTGCTGACGCACTTACTGTAGTTCGATTATTAATACAATATTAATTCCCCGATAATCACTGAGCCTAAGGCGCATAATTGTATTAGTATTTTTGCACAAGTGAATTAACACAAGAACTGCATTTGATGACTTGTGTCTTAATTTGTAAGAAACGTCCACAAACCTACTAGCCGCCATTTTGCAACTTTTGTTACTGCCGCGGTTTTGTTACTTTCTTAAATCCACCTGAAGGTGAATATAACAGCATACTACGTCAAATTTGAGCAATCAGAATGCAGGATTTGTTATACTCACTTGCGCAAAAGTACTAATGTTGAATATTTAAGTAGTTAGCTTGTTGCATTGTATCATAGCAACAGCTAAAAGAAAATAACGGCGATCAAGAATCACCCTGCGAAATCAACGAATTTCATGGCGTTGAGGAACACATTTACACGTCTTTATGCGGTTTTTGAAATGCTATATAAAAGTCCTTGAGTCCTTACGAACCAGCTCTGGGACCGGTTGTATCAAGCCTGTTCAGCATAAACAGTGGCCGATATGTCAAAATTAAATAACACACTTACATCTCTCTTGCATGAGTCAACTTGAGCATTACGCTCTGAATAAACTATGTAGTTTTAGACATATCTTTGCTATAACGACAAAAACACTTAGTTCGCTTCTTGAATAAAACGTTAGACTTGCTTTTGCTTTTCTTTTGAACTTATCTCTCGTCTAAGCTTAAAGGACTTGATACAATCGCCCCCTACCTGATGTTGACATTTAGTAATACCTGCCAACAAAGATCAGAAATTGGAGCTGTAAAGTACCTAAAGTTTTAATATGCTATAGGAGTGTAACATTCTTATGCAATGAGAATCGTAAAAATAATCTTTCTAGGAACATATACCGCTCAAATTTCCATTGGTTAATGATCGATAAAATTAAACATGTTTTGGAGGTGGACAATCGCGATTTCTCAATTGTGGGCTACATAGAAAGCAAATTTTAATGACCCCCCACTTTTTTCTTAGACACGACGCCATATCGGAGGATTTCTAAATTAGTTCTAAAGCGCCCATGCTTGACAGGCATTTTGGCCTACATTTCTGGCAATGGAAAGGAATTGTGAGACATCTTGATAAAACGTAGGGCATTGTAAAGAATGTCTTTCAGGTGGACTAAGCCACTTTTTTCTACATCTTTTGAGATAATGTTTTACAACATTTATTTTATTGATATCCCATGCAGTCGTACCTGTTCTAGTACATTCAACTCCGGCATTTCTATTAGAGCAATATTGCAAACCCCAACCATTGTGGTCACAACTTGTTATATTTTGTTCCTTCCCATTGCAATCGACGTAAGTCAGCCAGATTTGTCCCGACCCAGAAGGAACCTGTCTATGACGTGTGAGTGCCCTGACAGCATCTTTATACCCAAGTTGGCGACATACAACCCGAGCATCTCTTACATCCCATCCACTAGTACAGATTGCTCCCCATTTTCCATTATAAAAAACTTCAACACGACCAGTACCATTTACACTTTTTGGTCCCTGCAATCTCACCAATACCTCTTCAAGGGGATACAAATAGGTGTCTAATTTATGCTTATAGCGTGCAAAATATATCTGGAGTGGCATTTGCAGCACTCTTATTGTATTTATGCATAGCAATTTTTCTATGATAAAAACGTCTCGTTAAGTGCTCAATAGATTTGCAGAACTTCTGATTAAACAAGTTAATTAATTAATTGTAGACACACCCAAAAAATTCCTCTAAGGGTTCCGATTATTTTTGTCGATGAAATTATTCATAGCAGTCTAAAATAGGCACGGGCGAATCAGCACCAACGAGTTTTTTCACTTACGTTGGTAGACTCTTCTTCCCCCCTTCCCCCTCGTTGGCTAAAGAAATTATTTCTAACCTAGTCGATGAAAAGAGTGTAATTTTTAACAACGTTAAAAAAATATATTATCTTACCTGTGCTGGAACATTCAACTCCGGCGTCCTTAGCATGAGAACAATATTTATGAGCCCCCCAACCATTATGAGAACAATTTCTAATGTTATTTTCCTTTCCATTACAAGCTACGTGTGCCAACCATATCTGTCCAGAACCAGAAGGGACCAGGTTTCTGTAAAGAGTTCTACTGTGTACATGATCTAGTAGATCATAACCAAGTTGACGACATACAACTCTAGCATCTTGAGTATCCCAGCCATAATCACAGATTGTTCCCCAATATCCATGATAAAATACTTCAACACGACCAATGCCATTTGCACTTAACGGTCCTTGTAACCTCAGTTTGACAGGAGTAGTGGAAAAATCTGAAAAGCATGTGTGATTCTAATGAGATAAAGGCAGGTGAGAATTTAATTAATAATGGGAATATTAAAGATGATGTAAAGTCCGTTCTGAGCATATATTCTGCGCATAACAATGTTTGTTTACGTTGATAATAATAAAATCTTTATTTAAGTTATTCTATATTATATTTTGAAGAAAATATTATTATATTTAGAAGAAAATATAAAGCGAAGCTTGTAAAAAAACCGGCCGTTATTTAAAACTTTATATATTTGTAATTGTAGGACAAGCGAGAAGGTAGCGTCTGTAGGCTGTAGCGACGACAAATAGCCTCGCCATCTCGTACGGTCCTCATTCAACAAATAAATTATTGGAGCATTCCTTTCAGCATATTGCTTTTTTCTAGCAGCCTTATGATAAGATAAGTTATATTCGTCACTCGTAATTCGAGCCTCTTCGCCTTGCGACATAAAATAAAATAATTGTGCTCCCGAACTGCCGTTTGTAATACAACACGCTGATATCGCATATCATTAACATTCCAAAAGTTGCTGCCCCACTGATGGAATGTGTTGATGCGCGGAATATATGCACAGAACGGACTTTACCTCATCTTTAAAGGAATTATTAACGGAAATATGTTGCATTTAGTTACGACTCCTTTGGTCGTGTGGTTATAGCAGATAATGATTAATAATGCAGCTAATAACAATTACCAATTTTGTGCTCTTAGCTTTTCCGCGTTACTCACAGAGTAAAAATGCCGAATCGTTTTTTTAAAACATGCTATGTTGCATAATTGATGTCCGTTTTTATCGTTGTTGGCAAACTTTTAGGATTTTAGAAAAGGAAAAGTACCGGTCGAAATGATGTACTCTGATTCTCCAACTCTTTCTGAAGTTCAGCTTACCGGGAATTTGAAATATTTTTGAAGCGCAATCAAATGTCGCGAATTAATTACCGACCAAATAAAGCATATTTGTAAAGGTTTTCCCTGAATGGTTGTAAGCAAAGGCTATATCCATAGGATTTTGTGTAACCAAGGAAATTTTGGCCTTGCTATGGAGTTTTCTGACTGTCCACATTTCTTACTTTCTCAAAAATTGGTAAAATCACACGAAAGAATCCTTGCACATTCCTCTTTTCTAAGCAATTGATAAATAGAATAACATTTCCACAACAAGAAGGGATGCGTTTCTTTCGAAAATTCTGGTGTCTGCATCTTCGGTTTCCAAGCTGTTAGAAAATTGCTCAAAGCAATTGAAGCTTCCAAGAACTCAAGCTTATCAATGTTACCGCTTGATATTATCTGAACACAATCTAAAATTTTCCTGGAAGTTTACGAAATTTATTGATACCTTCGTACCTGTTTTGGAACATTCTACTCCAACATCTTGAGAATGAGAGCAGGAATGAATCCCCCAACCATTATGATAACAGCTTGTAATATTTTCTTCCTTTCCAGTACAATCAAGAGCAACTAGCCAAATATGCCCAGAACCAGAAGGAAAATCGTTCCTCTGAAGAGTTCTTGCAACATCTTGATAACCAAGTTGACGACAGGCGACTTTAGCATCTTTCATATCCCATCCATCATCACAGATTGTTCCCCAGTATCCTTTGTGTAGTACTTCCAATCGGCCAGCACCATTGCCACTTGATGGCCCTTGTAACCTGAGCGACCCAGCTAGTGGGAAACCTGAATTGACAATGAATTTAAAACTTTTTCCATAAACGAATTTTGTTAGGCGAAGTTTTCAGCAAAACAGGGAGGTTCCTAACAAAAATATGGTGCTTAGTATTGTGTAATAGACTAATAAAATTTAGTGTTTGTGTTTATTCAGAAAATGTTTCCAAAACATCGATTTGGGATTGTGAAAATGGGCGGTGTGATGGTTAGCTCTCCCCCTTGATATTTTTTCTCCTCTCGAACAGGTTTCTTCGAAATATTTAATGAATAACTGTATAATTATTCATTACCATACGTAGGTGGAAGCATCGTATCTTAATCTCTCTAATGATATCTACCTTGACACTGATTTGGTACAAATTGAATTAAAAAAAGAATCACGCCAGTTATGAAGGCAAAGCTTGTCATCTCGTGAACACTTTTTCAACGTGAGCAGCTGAAACGATAAAATATACTCAGTTACGTACATTATTTGGTTAATGCATGTTCAAAGTGGCAAGGCCTAATAGAAAGTCCATGCATGCGGTGTTTTTTTAGTTTCACAATTCACATAATTATTTCCTTTTTTCTTCTTGTCGAAATATTCCAAAATTTTCGCACACAAAATTCCGCCCAGAGCCTGGACAGCAGCCATAGAATTACGCAATGGAATACTCATGCAGACGGCCCGTGTTAAGCCGTGGTCTAATTTTGCATGCGTCGAACAAAAATAACGCACATGTGAGCAGACAAAAATAAAGACATTTCCTCATTTACAGGAGGATCAAACATGTCTTAAATTCTAGGGTCAGCGACACCTGAAAAATATATAAATTGTTTGGGTTTGCCTGGGGTACGATCGTTATTGGTAACACAAAATATAAAAGCTTATTTTATAGGATACATCCTGGTAATAACGACGATTTAATGCTTTTTTTTTCATTCCTAAGGACCAACAGGGGTTCGTAAATGCAATGATATTTTTTCCTATTCGACCAACTGCACTAACTTCAAAGCTAACTTATCTAATTCTCCTGTTACAGAAAGACAGCTTTCATTTTTCTTTTCATAGTGTTAAAATTTTAACATATGCAGTACTAACGACATAAAATGTTTTTGAACTGTTTGTGCAGTAAAGTGATTCTTTTATTCGTTTGATATTGATCACAAGTGGCATGGCACACCTCATTAATTTTCTTCTACTTTGCATAAACAAAAAAGAGTCATAATGTGAATCATTTTTTTGATTGAACTGATACTGATAATGAATATAAATCAAATTTATCTTTGGAATCTGATCTGTGTATCCGCGAGACTATTTGGACATCCCTGTTGGTATAGTAAAAAGTCTTTTATGTTAAAATTTATGCGGCGAATAGCAGGATCGGGACGAATAATTTCCCTTAATTAATAAGTTATTAGTTAGTTCCTGAGATTTAAGGATTAATTGTGAAGATGACTTTTTCTGTCGTACCTCTAGTTACAATTCCATGCATCATGACCGCACAGCAATTATAAAACGCCAAGTTTGCCGTTTGTTGCAAGCAGAGCCTCAAAAGCTAGATTGAGATTCTCAATTATCGGTCGTGTTTTATTTTATTACGCTTACTATTACGTATAACAGGGATTTTAGGCTTTGAAATATTGTTGAAAGCAAAGTGTTAGAGCCGTATAATTTCTGTAGTTTGAAAACTCCCTCAAACTTACTCAAGATAAACGAATTAAACGAATTTGTTTTGCGAGTTCCATTATAGTCGCCCACTTTAAGCATAGCTACACTACAATAAATAACTAAATTATTTTGTCGGAATTGTATCGTACTTTTGTAAAAGTATCATGTACATACTACGCACCTTTATTCTTCTGCACTTTTCAGCTATGGTTCAAACGATAGCCAATGCCAAAGCTCATCAATTTAAAGAGGAGCAAGGTAACAGCGGCTTCTGCGCATCTGTTCTGCTCATAACATTGGGGGATTCCATGATTTGGAAATTTTCCAAATTTCCCATGTTTTGAATTTCTGGTCCCGGCATTGACATCAGCCCGATTTGTGCCCACTAACCCGACTAAATAGGGGACCTTATCGAAAAAAAACAAGTTGGTCACTTGGTCGAGGAACTTTTGCATGAGTAAAAACTAGAAAAGGGGCTGCTGCATTGTTTTAATTATAATTATAATTATAATGACCTTTCATGGCCTTGAAGACACTCAAAAACACTCACTTATGACACTCAAAAGGGTCCTCAATCAAATGGGAATGCCCAATCAGGGTGGTGTCAAAGGCTGGACCAGAAATTCAAAACATGCATGAGAAATTTGTATAATTAACTTTATGCCAGAGAAAATACACGGAATCATCAACAGAATCCAGTAATATCCGACGCTATATGCATGTATATTCACTCGTTGATTTCATAAGTATATCACTTAAATTATTTTTAAAATGGATATAGGCAGAATAAAGTATAAATTTTTATCTGTGCCGGGATAATAGGGTCCAGTAATCAGAATATATTACACATTTTAATTTTAGATTCCAAAACACCAAAAAAACAACGCTATTGGTTATCAGGTTGTAAATTTGAAACGAATATTTTTATATAAAAATCAACCGACGCTATTACGATTTTAAGCTGCAGGGGCCGTTGTTCGAATGCGTTTAGCTTAAACGGTGGATGAGTTTTAACTTTATTCTGGTTACCCCTAGATCCGTTTTTGAATTTGATAAGGCTTATATAAATACGGCTTGTGCTTTATGAAGCACAATGTAGAAATTCAAAATTCTTGCAAAGGAGGACTTACTCTAAATTAGATACACCACACCAAAAACTACGCTTTAGTCACGAAGTTGAAGGTCGCGTCATCGTACGAACAAAATCAGCACCGCGCAATAACGCCATGTATATTGATATTGACTCTATGGCTTAAAATTTTGGATAAATGACATTGAAACGTTTCGAGGACGTTCATGTTGATACCACAGTCCCAAGGGTTTTCTTACTTTTTCACATGCATGCATCGCTCGATATACTCGATCGTCCGAAGTTATCTCCATGAAGAATATGACAGCAGAGACGTGTGCAGGAGCCTAAATAGCGGGATGGATCTCCCGTTTCAGCGTTCCCAGCACCATTAGGTCTGATCCTGGTACTCAATTTTAATCCAATCTGTGGTCATGCGTCATGCATCTCTTGAGCATCAAGCGTCATCGCACTATAAACATGCTGCTTAAGTGAACCGGATGGAAGTAGTAGATATATTTTAGCGTCAAATGACATGCTGTCTGAAATAGACAAAACATTTCTCGACGTTTCGACCCCTCAATCAACGGTGTGACTATATTAGCTACAATGTACAACGTGCATTCATTTGTATTAAAAAAAATTATGCTAAAATTTGTTTCTTTAAATTTTAGTGCAAGGTATATTGATGTCGAACTCTTAGCGTTTCTCGACATGGAGATATTTGCTTAAAATGAGTTTTTATATAAGACCCTAACATGCATTATCATCACAAGGGAGTTTAGTTAGACTAAAGACTGATATGTGTTTACTCGATCTCTTGCAACGCTCAGCCCAGTATAAGCCGAAATATTTTGATTGTTTGCAGCGGTCTCTACTGGCTCGTAGCCGTCTGCTAAACTATTTGTGTCAAAAACAAACTCTTGGAGATTAACATCGTCATATGTGTGTTGGTTTTCAGCATTTTGAACAACTATTGGCTTTCTTCTTAAACAGCGACGATGGGAACACAACAGAACGTGTGCAATGAAAATACCAACGACAATCCCAGCCAAGGCGATGGTGAAAAAAATATACCATTTTGTTCGATTATTTGACTTCCAGAGTAGTGATTTTTCTAAACAAAAGATTGTTTTCTTTAGTTTTTGAATTACTTCATTGCTCTAGGTCGGATAGAAATGATAGCATTTAGAGTACCGTTTATTGCCAATATTGCAATTGATTGATATAGTGGTTGTTCTGTATATACAGTATATTTTTCATTATCAATTTAATATTTCTGTGTACATATTAACAATAGGCTTGCATGAATTCAATTTTAATTTAAGAAAGAAATAAACCTAGTGTTCGCACAAGTTGACCCTACATCAAACTAGCATTTGAGGAAAAGAAAAATATGTAGGTTTACCACACAAACGTGCTTCGAATGTTTTTTCTTCCGTATAATAGAGGCTTTTTCCAACGCATTTGTATATTCCAACATCAGTTCTGTCAATATTTTTCAGGATAAGTCCATTTTGCTCTTTTTTTATGTCTCCAATCTGCCTGCCATTTTTATACCATGACACACTCGCTTGAGGAAATCCACCTTTTCCTTCGCAGAGACACGTTACATTATCTCCAGCAGTTAGTAAAATTATGCTGGAACAATTGACTGATAAGATAGCTTTTTCTAAAATATGAAGTTTATATTTAGCACGAGATGAGTTTTGTTCGAGAAAACGTATTTTTCCCTAAAAATCCATTAGCGGCGAAAAAATTCTACATTCTACATGCTATAGGGATGGACATGCTAAAAAATTCGATACTTCAAATTTACTTCGTTTTGCCTTCAATCTGGCAAACTTTGTTTTTATTCATATCATTTAAAAACATGTGGTCATTTCTTGCTGCTATGAGTTAAAGAAAGGTCAAATTGGGAAGCTAAATATGCCTCTTTTCTCTAACTTCCATTAAGGTCTGTTAATCTCCTTTTTTAAAAATCCCCGTATCACGGGAATAGATGGTATGATTTACTTTTATGTAGGTAGATCTCTTGCAAGGTGGACCCATTGTAAATTTCAAACGGAAATTTTTAGCAAGAAGAATAAAGTATTCCCGAATACTACCAAACAATTTTCAATTCGTTTTTGCGGGTTGAGAAATAGGAAATAAGAAAATGAGATGTACCGTAAAAACGAGCTTCCACTGTTATTTCATCTGAAAGATTGTGGCTTTGTGCAACGCATTTGTATTTTCCACTCTTATTTGTATCCATATCATAGAGAGTAAGTGCATTTTGTTCTTTTTTTATGGCTCCAGTCTGCGTGTTATCTTTATACCATGTTACATTAGCTGGAGGAAATCCACCTTTTTCTTCACATAGGCAGGTGATATTATCACCAAAACTTACAATAATTAAGCCGGAACAATTTACTGATACGATGGGCTTCCCTGAAATAAAAAGTGAGTGGCGCTGTTAATAGGAGGGTTTTCAGCATAGGATGGAAATTTGAATAAAATGGGAATTTTTGAAGTGGGCCATTACAAAAGTCAGTGGCGGATTTAGGGTTAGGCAGAATAAATTAAAAGGCTTAGTTTTAAAATTGATAATACCTCAATACCAACGCCATTGGTTACGGATTTCTAAAGAATACTTCAAAATCTACCAATGTGATTACGATTTTAAGCTGTAGTAATTTTTTCTGCCTAACCCTGAATCCGCCCCTGACGAAACTTGTTATCAATTGTGCATGAGAGTAAAGAAACAAAAAATACAGCTGGAATATTTATAAGAGTAACGATGATCGCGGCACAATATATTAGAAAGGATTGAAATTAGATTGGATTAGTGACCATATTTCCAAAAAAAGTTCACTACGAACTTTAAGGTATATCATGAATACAGAGAGTGACTTAAGTTAGGTATATTTCCCAGGCGTGCATGGTATTCAGGGGTACTGTCGAAGCTCCTCGATCGCAAGAATGATTTCCATTGGCTGAACTTTACAATACATTTCTGTTTCAACCAATAGCATAGCTTCGTTCTTTAGAAAGCATATAAAAGCATTATCTAATTGGACGAAAGCTTCCGAGAGCTGCGACATGTCCCGTATTTAGGGGCGTAACTAGAACGATGTTAATGAGGGGGGGGGGGGTTAAATATTTATATCTTGATTTTTGACCGACGGATTTCTATTGTAAGCTCTTGCACTTACAAAAGAAATCCGCCTGGGAAAACTGAGTATATGAATATTCACCCCCCAATTATCGTTCTGGTTGCACCACTGATAGTACTGTCAATTTTAAATGATATTCTGTGCAATGTGGTAAAAAATCAGCAAATTTTATATACTAGTGAACAACTTTTGATTTGTTACCGAATGATATAATTATATGGGTTCAAATACTCCAGGATTAAGAACTATAGCAACACATGTACCGTAAAAATGAGCTTCCACTGTTATTTCATCCGTAAGAGTGTGACTTTGTCCAATGCATTTGTATCTTCCACTATCATTTCTATCAATATTATTGAGAGTAAGTGCATTTTGTTCCTTTTTTAAGACGCCAATCTGCGTGCTATCTTTATACCATGTTACATTAGCTGGAGGAAATCCACCTTTTTCTTCACATAGACATGTGATATTATCTCCAACATTTACCATTATTAAGCTGGAACAATTCACTGATACGACAGGCTTCTCTGAAATATAATAATTTTTTTAGAAAAACATTCTACATTTTATATAATATGCCAGGGAATTGACAACTAAATTGATATGAATCAACAATTTTCACAAGGTATTTGGAGAAGCTTAATAGCAAAATGACACGTGGTGATAAATTTAGAATAAAACTGACGGTGTGTGGCGTCGTTAATAGGTTAGTTTTAAGTATTGCTAACATAAAATTTCATTAAAAAGGAAATTCAACTATTGAGATATTTAAAACTTTTTTTCATTTCGCTTAAAATGGAATAGGAACAATGAACATGTACCGTAAAAACGAGCTTCCACTGTTTTTTCATCTCTAAGAATGTGGCTTTGTCCAACGCATTTGTATTTTCCAATATCATTTTTGTCAATATTATTGAGAGTAAGTGCATTTTGTTCTTTTTTTATGACGCCAATCTGCGTGCTATCTTTATACCATGTCACATTGGCTGGAGGAAATCTACCTTTTTCTTGACACAAACATGTGATATTATCTCCAACATTTACCATAATTAAACGGGAACAATTGACTGATACGATAGGCTTGTCTGAAAAAAAAGTAGCCATGTTTAAAACGACTGAAGTTTGAGCGAGAAAATGTCTGCATGTTTCCTTTAAATCCACTGCAGAAATTGGCAACAAAATTCAGATTATTCAATCAATTTTGCCATATATTTCGAGAAGCGTAATTTTTCTCAAGTAAAATGACACGTGGTGATAATTTAAAATGAAGGGGGGATATGTATAACGTTTTTATAATAGGGAGGTTGTAAGCATTGGATGGAGGTTTCAAGAAATTAAAACTGTGAATTTATGCAAGTGACCCATTGCAAAACCTATTATTCGTTGCGTATGTTACCTAAATTCTTTGTAATAAGACAAAAAACAACCAATTCATAATGATACTGACGAATAACTTGAAAATAGTTTCTGCATCATTTGAGTTGAAATACCGTAATAATAAGCACTATGAATATGTACCATAAAAACGAGTTTCCACTGTTATTTCATCTGTAAGATTGTGGCTTTGTCCAATGCATTTGTATTTTCCACTATCATTTCCATCAATATTATTGAGAGTAAGTGCATTTTGTTCTTTTTTTATGGCTCCAATCTGCGTGCTATCTTTATACCATGTTACATTGGCTGGAGGAAATCCACCTTTTTCTTCACATAGACATGTGATATTATCTCCAACATTTACCATAATTAAGCTGGAACAATTCACTGATACGACAGGCTTCTCTGAAATATAAAGCATTTTTTAGAAAAACATTTTATATTTTATATAATATGCTAGGGAATTGAGAACTAAATTGATATGAATCAACAATTTTCACAAGGTATTTGGAGAAGCTTAATAGCAAAATGACACGTGGTGATAAATTTAAAATAAAACTGACGGTGTGTCGCGTCGTTATAATAGGTTAGTTTTAAGTATTGCTAACATAAAATTTCATTAAAAAGGAAATTCAACAATTTAGATATTTAAAACCTTTTTTCATTTCGCTTAAAATGGAATAGGAACAATGAATATGTACCATAAAAACGAGTTTCCACTGTTATTTCATCGGTAAGATTGTGGCTTTGTCCAATGCATTTGTATTTTCCACTATCATTTCTATCAATATTATTGAGAATAAGTGCATTTTGTTCTTTTTTTATCGCTCCAATCTGCGTGCTATCTTTATACCATGTTACATTAGCTGGAGGAAATCCACCTTTTTCTTCACATAGACATGTGATATTATCTCCATTATTTACCATAATTAAGCTGGAACAATTCACTGATACGACAGGCTTCTCTGAAATAAAGAGCATAATTCGATAATTTAATGCTTGTTTCAGGAAGCAACATTTTAAAAACGAAATTGTCATGTAATGATAAACTAAAAAAAAATGGATCATGGGCGAGGCCTATAAGAATGTTGTCTATGGAAATTCAAGAAAAACGTGAATTCTACGAGTGGCCCATATCAAATGACATAGGTTTATGCAGTTTGTTTTGTGGCATTCTTTTATGAATTTCAAATATCACTGAAATAGGAACCATGATTATCTTCCGTAAAAACGAGATTCCACTGTTTTTATGAAAAACCGTTGTTTTCCCAGCAAGAAGACGTACATCTTTAGAAAATGGATCGAGTTTCAGTAAATAAGTTTAGATATTGTGTACACGTGAGTTACGTTTTTTGACATTCACTATAGCACTATATATCACCAAGTTTTCGGCCAATATTAAGTGCGAGCAACCTAAAATCAAAACTAGTCCTCTTCGACTATGAAATTGTACTCTCTATACTAAACTATACCGTCAGGGGCGTAAATTTTTTTTGGGGGGGGGGTGCGGAAGGGGTGTGACACACACAATTGTTGGAAAGAGTGTTTCGGTGGGGCAATTTCTGGGAATTTTCAGGGCGGACCGCAGGGTTCAGATTGAATAAATATCATATGATTACTAAACAAACTAAAAAAACTGTAAATTTTAAACGCAGTTATAAGAATTGTAAGATGAACAATGTAACTTTGTAAACGAGAATGAAAACACGTGTAATACAGTCCATGACGCAGGAGAGAGTGCTTTTAAAAATAAATGAATTTTCCCAAACGTTTACAGATGCTGCAAACTTCTGTTTACTGCGCTCGTTATTGTGGCAGATATCGAAAGGTCATTTAGCAAAATGAAGATTGTAAAGAATTATTTACGATCAACAATGAAAAGTGCAAGGCTTGAAGACCTAATTGTCCTTTCAACCGAAAAGAACTTAACTGACATAATTAGTCTTGATGTAGTTCTGAGAAGTTGGGCAAGAAGAAAAAATCGCAAACTTAAAGTTCGATTCAAGTAAAAACTAAAACTCAAAATAGAACTATTTTGAAAGAATAAATAATATGTATATGTTTGCAGGGTATGCCCGGTAATTAAGCTTTGTTGGAATTCGAATGCATGATTAACGCACTGGTTTGTAAATACAGGATGTAGTAATTAGGTTGAGGCTTTCAAATAAAACACCTCGCTTCAATTTTACGCAGCTGGATTTGCGTAATAAATATATAACTATAAGTCATAAACACGCCATAATTGCAATTGGTTGCCATGCCCTTTCCTGGGTATTTGTTGTACCCCATGCTCTTTTGTAGGGCAAATTTGCTTCACCCCCCCTAAGACTTAGGGTCAAGTTACGCCCCTGTATACCGTGAGCCTAAGTGGTATATGAGCTGATAGCAAAAGTTTCCAAACCAAGTCCAAGGTCGTCAACTAAAGTAGCAAATTACTGTGCAAATTTTCTTGATATCTCTACTCAAAGATAGGACGCATCGGCCGGTTAGAATAATTACCTGTTGTACTCGCAATTGTCTTCGTCGGAGCGTTCGTTGCCAGAACTAAACAAAAGCGATGCGAAAGAAAAATGTTACATAATCATGCTGTTACAAGTAGCAAAAAGTAGCAAATTATTCTGCAAATTTTATTGACATCTCCACTCGAAGATAGGACGCATCGGACGGTTAGAATAATTACCTGTTGTACTCGCAATTGTCTTCGTCGGAGCGTTCGTTGCCGGAACTAAACAAAAGCGATGCGAAAGAAAAATGTTACATAATCATGTTGTTACAAGTAGCAAAAAGTAGCAAATTATTCTGCAAATTTTATTGACATCTCCACTCGAAGATAGGACGCATCGGCCGGTTAGAATAATTACCTGTTGTACTTGCAATTTTCTTCGTCGGAGCGTTCGTTTTCGGAACTAAACAAAACCGATGCGAAAGAAAAATGTTACATAATCATGCTGTTACAAGTAGCAAAAAGTAGCAAATTATTGTGCAAATTTTCTTGATATCTCCACTCGAAGATAGGACGCATCGGCCGATTAGAATAATTACCTGTTGTACTCGCAATTGTCTTCATCGGCGTGTGCGTAGCCGGAACTAAACAAAAGCGGTTCAAAAGAAAAATGTTACATAATCATGGTGTTACAACGACGCCTAACGAACTTCTCCGCGGAAGCAAAATCGGAAAAATAGGGACCTTAAGTATGTAACACCAGAACACGAGGATGGTTGCTATCAATTGAATGAATCATTATAATGTTAAAAGTTGCAGACAACTCGCAGTTTGAGACGTTGTCCACATTCAGTTTGCAATAAAAAGTCAAAGGTTTTCATGTCGATACAGTGCCTCCATTTCTGGACCCAGATATAACTCTTAAACAACGTTATACAGACCTAATTTAGGAAATAGCAAATGTCTTTTCTCTTTGAATAGGTGTCCAAAATCGCAGAATTCGTTGACCAAATACATTTCTCCGTTAGCGAAAGCGTTCATTTCGATCAAATTAAAACAAACATGGGTTGTGTTTCGTTCAGTGGTAACATTCCGGAATCCATAAGGATATATATATGTTATTCGTCTTAAGAACACGTTGTCACCAGAAATAGCCATACTGTAGAGAAAAGTTCCGTCTGCTCTCGTATCATTTCGTTGATGAAAACTAAATTCAAATGCTGCAAACCATTTACTGCAAATGTTATAGTTTATTGATTTCAGGCATACTTTTTGTGTTGAACCAATGGTATATGGAAAGCCGTGTATGTCTGGAGAAAAAAAAGTGGTATAATGAAAAATGAAAAAGAGAAAAGAACAAATGTTCATCAATGGACCATGTAATCCCCTTTTAAGCTAAACTTTAAAAATAGAAATATTCGTCTGTACAGCTGCAAAAGAACATCCTAAACGAAGTAATATTAGAATGTTTATTAGCGAAATATTGTGCATTGCGAAAAACATCCGGATGTGAAGATTGTAACATTGTAATTTATAGAAAATTTGCACTCTTTGCACGGCTATATTTTTTGCTTTCTAATTTTACTAATCTTGGAATACTTTTTAGCATTTAATTAATACGGTTTAATTAGTTAACTTGGTTTAATCGCGCTTAACTGAATATGCATGGTTTGGAGACTAAAAAGAAGGTATAATACAACTAATTAACTATGTTATTGTCCAGGTTTATGCCAAAAATGGTTCCCTTCTCGTTACGTGTCTAATATATTTTAGCTAAATTTACCAATGGAATTCGTTTTGCTAAGCTCATCAACCCTGACTTGAAAAATATGTGTTAATCTGTGCAAAATACAATAGACACGTGATGAGAAAGGAATAATTTTTCGCATAAATGTACCTCAACTTAGTTAATGTTTTGTAGTGTAGTTTTATGTGGTCTCCAAACCATGTATATTCTGTTGACTGTGGTTTGATATTGGACAGGCAAGAAATTCGCAGTAATTATGTTGCTCAGGGAACGAAAAAGGGCAAAACCAAAATACCAAATAATCAGGAAAGATATACAAGCTAACCCCAACCCTTGATGCGGGGAACGCCATGCTAATATTATTATTATATTTATTAACAGGCGCCTAGATTGTTATGCGGCTATGCCACTGAGCATTGAAATAAAATTCAAAATATACTGAAGGATTAGCAAAATATTGCATAATTATGTTCATATATTATTCTGTTCTGGCCGACGGATTTATCTTAAAAATGCACACAGGTGTACAAAAGAGAACCATTGGGCAGAAGGAATGTATGAATATGAATTCCTCAATTATCGCCTCCACTTTCGTCCTTGGGGCAGTAGTTCTGTGCAAAAAGGTGTTATTATACGAAATTTCACATTATCCCCGAGCGGGCGCGGAGCGCCTTTCGAGGGTACTAATTCCTCTCGGAGATTAAGAATTACACCCGGAACCCGGTAGAACATAGGCGAATCCAAATTCTATGTCATGGACAGTCGATGTTGGGTGGTTTTGTAAGTTATGCGCATGCGCGAGTAATCAACGAACGTTCTGATTGGCTAAAACAGAAAGTTTGTATTTCAATGAGAACGTCAGCAATTTATCCGTCATTTCGTAAACATTTTTCTAAAAGCGTTAAATAAACTTTGTGCAAAGAAAGCAAAACGAGAAGAAACAAGATATATGAAGCATGACAGATAGCAAAGATGAACGTGGATACAGTCAAGACAAAGCCGTGTAAGAGGAATAATTCATAATCCGCAAGTTTATAAATGTTTTCAAAGGCAAAGTGTACGTGTTTACTTTGTTTATTTCGTATTTGATTCGCAGTGAGAATGAGCCGTATTTTTATACTTTTCAGCTTTGTAATTGTATGCCGTTTATTTGTTAAATTTTCCGCTTTTTATGCAAACACATAAACCTGTCAAAGGCTATTACACCTTTGCTTTAACTTCAAAAAGTGTTTTTGAAAGTGAAATTTGAATTTTGGAATAAAAAATGCACACTATATTTATAAAGTATGAAACATTTAGCCGCCGGCGTCGACTGCAATTACAGAATAAAATAACATTTGAAGTTTTTTCTTTGTCTGTGAAGATTTTGTACTGTTTTAATCGTTTGAAACTTCGATTTTAAACCGTTGCTTAATTGCTGGCAAGGTATAATGCAGCAAAATTGAACGGGCAATGTTTACACTAGCTTTATGATTAATTTTGTATTGAATGATGGAAACATTAGCTATAATATACTCGGTAAAATATAATAAGACTGATTTGAGTTTTGTGTCATTTCATAATAATAAGTTTAAGTCAGTTTAACTCAGGAAATTGTGTACTTGGTTCGAAATAGCGAGGGGTTGCTGCAAGCAAGTATTTCTAGTTTTATTGATAATAACAAAGGGGATTACATGGCGAGAGTTAACACCAAAATGAGCAGTTCTGAGTTTCCTTCAAATGACTCTTAATTAAATGGCACTTCAGGCGATCATAAAAGGCACGGGAAATGCGAGATCAAAGCAAATATATTTTAAACTAGAGGGCACTCAGAGACTGCATACCTCCGCAAGTGTTACTGAGCCATAATACACGTCCTAATTATGCGCCTCATTACGCATTCAGTGAGTTTTTCTTAATTGACCGGGAAAAGCAAGACAAACTTTTGTTCATTTCTCGTTCAATTTTTAACTAATTTCAACCAAATTTTAATCACTTCTTTCTTTGCCGATGGGAAATGCTTTCCTTAAATTTCGTACGAATATGTTTGGTATTTTTTGAGTTATCGTGCTCACAGCCAAACACACACATATACGCACACATACATGCACCAACAATACAAACCCAGATGATCAGATAACCTCCTGGCGGAGGTGATTAACAAAGGCATGATGTCACAAATCAACGTAATGTCGCTGTAAATAATAGGAATTAATGATTTCTAAGGCGTATTATAAAGATTGTGCTTGTTATGGAGCTAACATTAAAGTTAAATGTTATAAAGCATGCACTCGCTTCGCTTGGTCGCTTTAACCTCAATAGCCATGCTACTCTGCTCTGCTCTGTTCTGCGGCTGTTAGCTATAAGTATAAGCTTATTTTTTCTGCGTGGAGATCAGTTAGGTTTTTCCTTTAAACATTTTATGAACGAAAGTTGGCAATCGTTATATTAAGCCATCCCTTTGAAAAAGGTCTGTTAACATGAGCAGCAAAACATTTAGAACCCGTAGGGGTTTCTTCTCCGTACATATTGTCTCATCCATTGCGTTGTATACAATACTTTAATATAATTTTTGTATATAATGATTTATAACTTATCTTTTTGTATCATAATAATGAGAGCGTTTTGGAAGAATACAGCTATATGGTAAAAATTGCGTTTGTAACCTTTTTTAAATTTATATTTAGATATCATTTATTATTATATATTTAGAGAGTTCGGTGACTGCGCTTAAAAAGCGTATATAGTGTTTTGATTACTTTCCTAAAGCACTATAGCTACTAATCGGACGAAAAAAAAACTTCGGAAAGATAAGCATGCACTTAGCTCGTAGCCTGATATCATTATCACCATCTAAATAACTACAAGCATATATAGTGAAAATTCCCACTCTTATATCTTTATTAACTTATAAAGTTAATCTTTCCATGACATGGCCTAAATTATTAATATGCTTCATGATACACGATGTAGACATTCAAATGTAGTCACAATGTAGAAATTCAACTATTGCAGAAGATTAGAGGACTTACCGACATTGGAACCCAGAACAACGCTAGTTACGAGGTTGTAGGTTATAGTCATACAAACAAAATCAAATCCGCGCAATATCGCCATATTGATATACTTTGACTTTATGGTTTACAGTTTCGTATATTTGACATGGAAAATTGTCTCTTATCTGGCGTTCTTCCACTCGTGGTCACCAAATACAATTGGATATGCCTCGCGCCCTCGCCACCTCTTCCAGAGGGGGTAGATATGAAACTAAGGGGTAACAGGAAATGCGTGATTGTCTTTGTGTCAATATTGTTTGTGATTGGAAGGCATGAGTGAAAAAAATCTGGGTAAAACTCTGTGTAAAAATCATATAAAATCAGCCGGGGCAAAAGTTGTCTAACAAAGGCCTTAAAATCCCAAAACTTTAAATTGTTAGCAGTGTTTATTTAAAATAGACCCAACCTTAAACTCGCAGTAATTAACCACCAGCGTGCCCAGTTGGAAGCTTATTTCTTTATGTATAATATTGTGTACTGGGGAATCAGAGTGTATCGCTATTGTACCGTTGATATTGTTTTTGTTTATGGATACATCTTCATTAAATCACATGATGACAAACTTCATCTTTATAACATAGTGCAGGTATGTCTTTTTGCAAAACCACAAGAAATTAATTTAGCAGCTTGCTAATTTGCACTAGAAGTAACATCAGATAAATCATAGACTAGAAATACGTATATGCAACAACCTCTCATTTCAAACGAAGCCGAAATATTTCCTGCGCTAGCCAGACATAAGCCGTAGCTTAGATTATGAAATAACCCAAATGAGTCTATAGTTGAGGTTTCTATTTTTCAGAGGCAAATACAGTCTCATAAAGTGAAGTAAAAAGCACCCGTTTGCGGACTAACTCGCTCCGATTTTGAAAAATCTGTTTAGGTGATTCTCGCGTAATAATTCGAGACCAGAATTTTCAATAATCACCTTTGTAATTATACTAAAATTTACTTATAATAAACACAGGTTATTTAACTTTTTTTTGTTCTGTCTCAGTCAGTCATGCATTTGGATTGATTTATCTTCCCTTCAATGCCATAATTAAATACCACAATGAAAACTTCGTAACCGAAATATAATTGTTCGCGGATGTCATGGTTAAGTACGTAGCAAGGGTGAGAATCATCGCGAATTTTTACATTTTGCTTAATTTTATCTGCTATTGTTTATATCATACAAAGCGGCCTTTCCTTTCGAACCTGCCATAAATTTTAAAGAAAATTCCGTGCATGGAAGTTGCACTTAAATAAAACGTAATTGTCCATGCAGTCATGGACAGTTACGTTTGTATTGACTGACAGTTACCTTTGTATAATTGTATTGACTGACATTTGTATTGTATTTTTTGTATTTGTATTTAATAATGTTGCGCAAGGCTTTATTGTGTTTAGATATAGGCATGTTAAAAATAACTGTAGAGATAGAAACATGAATTGCATGACAGCTAGGGAATAGTGATTGAGTTTGAGTTTTGCCACAGTAAATATAATTTCC